GCCATAATATCTGGAAAACCGTATTATGTGTTTCATGGAAACATGGCTGCAGGATCATATCTGTGACTCCAGTGTCTTTTTGCAGGAATTTAATGAAGGCTGGAAAACTCAGGGGATAAACTCTTCTATATCTAAAAATATCATACAACAACTCGTTGAAAAAAAAAATAAACATTGAAAAGCTATGAGTTACCACAACATTTAATTTTCCTTTAGAATTGATAAAGTATTAAATTTCAATTAAACAGCTAGCTAAATTCTAGCCTTTGTATGATTGTTGTTTTTCTTTAGTTTTAACATCAGTATATACCGTTATTTTTTTTTAAACTAGAAAATATTTGACCAAGATTGAGGATCTTATTTTGTGAGTGCAAACAAAAATCTAACATTGCTCCTACATAATTTTTTGGTAACCAAAAGCACACAGGGACCAATTACTGCTAGTTTGCTCTAGTGACATTCCAAAGGATTGTGATTGAGTGTTACAGCTTGTTTTGACCTGGGGCTATAAAAGATCCAGTGGCAATGCAGCAAGAAATGACACATGATTCATGTGACATACTGTAGGGACTATTCTGAAAAGAAAAAAAGCATACAGAGAGCAGTTGGGCAATCCGGGATGTTTTCGATTTACAGCCTAAAGTAGATCAACGTTGCTCCAAAAGAAACTGCAGGGTGTATAACAAACTTTTTATGACCACATAAAGAAAAATAAACATAGAATCAATTGTCTATCAACACCCTTTGAATTTTCTTGCCATTGTTTTCATGAAGTTTTAGTTTAGTGAAACTTCTTCAAACTTGGAAACAAAGTTCAGTGGATTGTTTTTTGTAAACTTTTTAAATGAGGTGGTTTTACTTTACTGGTAGGTATCTAATAAAAAAATCAAGCTATGTAATGCTTACTTGATACTTAGATACTTGATACTTAGATACTTGTAACCAATCCAGAGTAGGATATCTTTGAAGACATTACCCCATGTCTAGTTTTCTACTTAACTGAGATAATTTCACAAGGACAACTGGTCTAGGAGGGAAATTCAAACTGCCCTCCCATCAGAGTAACTTCCCAGAATACAAGGAAACTTTCCTTGCAAATTGGGGTTTGTCCTGCCTAATTTTAATCAATTTTGTTATCATTATTTCAAGTAATGTAACACATTCCCAAGATAGTTTTCCCACCAGGAAGTGTGGTTAGGATCAACACAACTCAGGTCTTTATTAAAACTTGCAAGTGAATCTTGCTTATTTCATATAGTAGGAAATGAAGAAGAAGTTAATTTCATGGTTTGCTATTGAGATCTCTGTTGAGATTATGAGTCATAAGACATTTTCATATGACTTATGATCAAAGAGCCCAGGAGCCATACTGCAGGTCATTGAGACATAAGTAGAACAGTACATTGAAAGTTTTTTGATTAGCACATACCTCACAATAACCTGGAGCATTTACTCACATCAATGCAAATGAGGTCTTCATCTGACAACCCACTTTTATTCTAAGGATAACTTAGGTACAACACACCAAGACACTTGAAGACTTCTGTGTGAGGCTAAAACAGACCCCTAAATTGGTGAGCTTATTCTGCACAAGCAACGAAATAAGATCCAGTTGCAACATACAATAAATTAGTTCAGTAACTTTACAGTGTTTAATGTCTGTAGGTAGCCTTTAAAGAAAAATTAAATAATCAAACGGTTTGAACTTCGGCAAACTGTTACCTTTAATAAAAACAATAGAAATCATCACCAGCCATTGGTATTATTACTTTCCTGCTTAATTTCTTGGTTATAAGAAAAAATCCACAGTTTTTAATCTAGAAGTTAAGGTTGTAAAGCAAGATTGCGAGTAATTGTGGGAGTGAGGTAAAGGAAAAGGTTAAAGCAACTTGTCCTGGTGAGTCAAACTTCTTTGTAAGTCCATCTATAAATACAAAAGTACTAAACTGAATATCTCCTGGGATATATCTTTTGTGCTCTTATCGTATAGTAGGTAGGGACAAGGTATGCAAGTAATCAAAACAGGTAAGAAAGCCTCCCTGTGTTTATATGAGGTAATTGGACCTGCCTTAATTCATCTAAAAGCACAGCTGAACACAAACACACTGTAGCCATATTAAACAGATAATGTTATTAATCTGCCCTAAGCAGTTTAAATGGCTTTCACTACAGAGGGCTGTTTTGCTGCAGCCACACAAGCAGAGGTGAAATGTTTTCTAATACAGTAAAAGCCTCAAAGTATCAACAAAGTAAATTAATGTTAGATATAATCTTACTCTACTTTAGTGCTTTTAACAAGTTTTAATGACATGTTTAAGTCAATAAGTTTACAACATCCAACCAAAACTTTGCTCCAGGTTTTAGGTATAAACTTTCTACTCTTCTGACATCATAAGTCTGCAAGGTTTCTGAGAAATATTTCAAAGTTGAACTCTGTTTAGAATCCTGTCAGCTGAGGAGGTGCAAATGAACTCTGTATTCAGTTTTAATCTTAAAATTATAAACACAAGAGCCTCTCCCAGTATGTTTTCCCAACACCATTAATACTTGTTTTTTCCCAGCAAAGACTACAGTAGTTAACAACAGTTGATGAACAACTCAGATGCACAAGTGAGAAAACTGTCAATAGGATAACGATTGGCTACACACTTAAAAAATGTAAAAAAAAAATGTTTCCATTGTCAGACAACTGGGCTCATAGAATAGATAAAAAACTGAAATTTTAAGCTTGTTTCATTTTTGTTAACTGCAAGAAAATCTGGAAATGATTAACAGTTTATCTGTTTTCTTGTTTTGATTGAGTAAATTATAAAAAAAAAATGTAAAGAATAAAATGTGTGTTTGTTTCAAAAACGGAATAGCTTTTCAAAATAGAATTCTTCAAGCATTAAGCCACCCAATGATTGGATGGGTTATTTAATGAATCTCTATCATTTTTATATTCCATTGATGGATAGATTGATGAAGTCATTTCCTAAACCCTTTTTCTTATAATTTGACTGAAAAATACAAAATTAACCATTTGTCTATCATCCTGTAAGAACACCTGAGCTATAATTAGACTGCATAAAATACAGCAACTTGTGATTTCAAGCTGCGGTGATTTGCTTAAAAGTACAACAGTAAAAAGTGTTGCATTTAATGTCTCTTCTGAGCTGATTTTTTTATTTCCTTTTTTTTTTTTACTTTTTTACTTTATGTGTTTAGAATCTTGAAAACTTATAGGATGTCTTTATTCATATTTAACTGTTATTATTGAGTACATGTTTTTAGATATTTCCTTTTCTTATTGATACTTCCACAATAAGCAACTTTATATGCTAAATCCTACATAGATATGGACATTTATAGGACTTCACCGCTTTGAGGAATCCCCCACTGATTCCTACCAGGCCTCCAAACCTCAGGGGAAACCCGGAGAAACCTTTAGTCTCAACATAAACAGAGAAAAACATACAAAAACACAAGCTTGGATTGCAATAAGTTTAAAGATGGGAAATGAAAGTATAATGTTAAGATTTCACATCATGTAAACTCTCGAGTTCCTGTAAGTCTTTGCTGGCCCACATCAATGAGGTTTCTTGCCCTGTCTCTCTTCCTTTGAGCCTTTTGTTTGGGCTCTCTAGTCCTGGATGGTGTTTCTAATGCTTTATACCAGTTGTAGAGAAATAGAGAGAAACTTAAACGGAAATTTCTCCCACATATGTTTGCATTTAAAAAAAAAACATAGATGCACGGAAATTAAGGATTCTTGAATGATGTAGCATAACCATTATTGTTTTCTACTTTAACCAATTCATACTGTAGAGCCTGGGAGTCATCAGGATGTCAAAAAGTGGCTAAATGAATCAAAAGCTAAATCAATTAAAAGACAGACCAGTTTTCCTGCAGTTGGAGCCACTCAGGCTTCAGGTGAGTTAACGTTCATAAAAAATAGTT